ACCACATGTTGGCCTAGCGTACTGTACATGTGTAGTCGATAATACTGCAAGACTACCCTGCATTAAGCGTTATACAATAGTGTTTGCTTAATGTGGAGAGGTCAGACAAGAAAAAAGCACACTGGCGTGGCTAGTCAAGCATTTTTGTCGATATATCTTTACACTAAAATAGTTATACACCCTCCCTACCCAGAAAGTAAATAGATAGTGTGTCCAACTGATTTTAACAACCTGGCCAGATAGACGTACACCTGTAGGCCTACTGAGTGTGCAGTCCATAATGACAAGATCATCCAGTTTTTTTTTCCCTTGCGCGTTTAACGGTTATGCAATAGTGTTAGTTGTATTTTTAGTGGTCAGACAAGAAAATAGCACATCAGTATGGTTTGACAAGCTTGTATTTTACACTATAAAATAGTTATACAGGTCAAATGTTTTAAAAACTCCAACAATTTCGTTTCTGTTTCTTTGGATACTAGATCTAAATTTGAAATTCTAAATATATGTTATTTAATGAGATTTTAAACTTTACCAGTATAAGTAAGATTTTCCGTTATATAATAAGTTAATATAATTTAGTTTTTAAAAGAGTACCATTATTTTCTAAAGTTTTAATTCAAGGCAAAAATACAAGCACACATATTTATTTAGACATTTTATTTTATTGTGCATTAACGTTTATGTAAGAAACATATTTCTTAATACTGATTTTATTATAGATAAATATTACTAGAATGTTAAAAGAATAAGATCGAACCGTAGGCATACAGTCGGCTGATTATATCTATATATGTCTAGTTCAGCCCCCCCCCCCCTCCAAAAAAGTTTGTTATAGTTTAATTAACTTTCTTTAGTTTAGTTTAACTATCTTTTGAAATTCATGATAAACTAATAGTTTAACTACTTTATTTTAGTTGAAAACTAGTTTTAGTTCAACTTTTAAAAGTTAGTTTAGTTCCCATCACTAGTTATTAGTTACTGATGTTCATTTCACATTGTTGTCAAGGGTACATTCGACACTTGACCAAAGGGAATAACTTTTAATTAGGCCAACACCTTTGTCTATTGGGAAACCAACATTTTAGATGATTTTTTTTCCTGTTCCCACTAAACCTTTTTTTCATTACAAGCAGGTCATTCAATACTTATGAATATTAATATTGTAATTAAATTAATAATAATGCCAGCTGGCTAAACAGTAATAAATAGCATTGTGTTTGTTCATAGTTAGTAGTTCATAGTTTTTAAAATTCATAATGAAAATATTGAAACTTACATTGCTTAACAAATAGATGGCCCATGGGTGGACCTTTCAGGGGCTGCGTCTGAGCTAGTGTTTATCACACAAACTAGTAAAACAACAAAAAAGTACCCCTTTTAGACCTTGCAATCTGTTTCTATGTCAGATGGCTTACATGGGTGTCATGCAGTCAACACAATAATCAACCACTTTTACTTTTCCCAATTAATGTCAGGTACTCATCAGAGTTGGATGGACTCAATGTTGTCCTAAAAATTCTAAAATTTAAAATGCTAGTCTTCACTGAGATTCAACTCCAAGACCCTTGGTTTGGAAAACAAGTGAAGTATTAGTAAGCCACCATGCCCTTATCACACAAACTTTCTCTGTAATATTGTTTGTTCTGTGGACGTAGATAAAAAAAAATATATTGTCTAAAATCTATTTTATTACTTCCATTGATCTCTTGCCATAACACCAGTATTTCACAAATATATAATATGAACATTGAGACAATATGTTTGGTGTTTGGTGTAAAGTAAAAATTCAAAACTGAGATCCTATAAAAATAAATACAAAGCTTTCATTCTGGATGGATAGGAATCACTTTAATAATATACACACTCCATAAATGTACAAATCAATTTAAACACATTGCTACCATCGATTCCATCCCCAAACTACCAATGCATTTTAAAATATCTTTTGCCATTTCCCTTTTTCCCGCCTTTTTTTTTTTTAACTATCCAAGCTTCTCTGGCACGCCTGGTTTACCAACCGCTCCTTCTGTTATTTTTAAAGCAGGTGGAAAACCTGATGCAATAATTCAACCAATGAAAGAATGAATAATTTGTTATTCAAAATGAACTTGCACTCTTAAGCTCCATAACAAACATTGTATTCCCCATTCTTATTAAGATACTTTACTATACTTGTAATTCTATTTCTAGTTTTATGAACAAACAGGGGTCAGTAACTCAGTTTATGATAACATTTTACAAGTAATTTTATGCATGATATTGCAGAATATAGACATTTCTTTCTTGCTAAAAAATATTTTGATCATCTCAGATTAAATTTCCTCCACAAAAAATTTAAAGACATTATTTACAGAATCTAAATTTTAGTTCTATTTTTAGGATAAGTTATATATTTTTGTAAAGTTTGTTTCCTCTTGAATATTTAATAATATTTTCTTATTTATTTTTTTTTTTTTTTTTTTGATAATAGGGTAATCGAGGAGAACAAGAAAAGTTTCTCCTAACAAGTACAACACTGTATGTCGGAAACTTGTCATTCTTCACCAGTGAAGCTCAAATTTATGAACTATTCAGTCGAACTGGAGATGTTAAGAAAATTATTATGGGGTTAGATAAGGTTCAGAAAACACCTTGCGGATTCTGTTTTGTGGAGTATCCTTTTTTTAATCGTACTTCTACAAATAGACAGCTTTACTGGTTGCCTGCATACTTAGTAACATTTAGCTTTGGTTGAAATGGAAATAGGTTTTAAAGAACTTAACCCATATGGAATTCTGTTATACTTGGCCTTTTTTTTTTCTTATATTCATTTTAAAATCCAAATATCTTGGCTTTTGACTGTTCTTTAAATTAAGTTTATTCTAATGAGTATTTATTTTTAATCAAAAGTAAATATATTTGAGTAATAATTTTAAAAACAATTTTTCTAGCAAATTAATTTTCACCAATATTTTTGAAGCAATACATGTATTTTTAAAAAGACAATTAGTCTTATATCAAATACAGTTTCTCATGAAATACAAATCATTTTACAGATTTTTTAATATAATATATAATATGAAATATTAGAAACAGCGTTTTAAAATTAAGAAATAAAACGTTTAAACTGTTAAAAATAAAATCGTATTGATACAAAGCATATCCAAAGAAACAAAACATGCCTATAGTATTTTTTATGTACAGAATCTATAGTTTTAATTTCTTGAAGACTCTATAGAATAACAAAAGATATACTTAATTTAAATTACATTTTAAGAGCAGAAATCAATGTTTCTAATGTTATAAGTAACAATAAGCTAAGCTATTACATCAAAATTTAATATTTCAACTTATGTTGCTTAGAATTCAGTTGTTGTTTTTTTTGTTTGTTTTTTTCAGGAATCATTACTTTTCATTAATTAAATATAAATATACTATGTTTAAAGAACTATTCTAACATGTTTCACCCTTAAATATTAATTATAATATTTTTATGAAAGGCTCATGATTAATTTAGAAAAAAAAGATCATTTCAAAATAAAAATGTAGCATTCTATAACCAAAATTCTAAATCTCAGAATGCACTATATGTTTTTTGTTTATAGTTGACATTTATTAAAGATTTGATACCAAAGGTAATTTAAAAATTATTAGTTTTAATTGCTTTTTTTGGGGGGGTCAAAATTCATATATTTTTTCAAAAATGTCCTTCTCTCCTTTCCAATTTTAATTATAATCCTTAATTACATCAGATACTATACTAGAGCAGATGCTGAAAATTGTATGCGATACGTCAATGGCACACGTCTTGATGACAGAATTATTCGTACAGATTGGGACGCTGGGTTCAAAGAGGGTCGTCAATATGGAAGAGGAAAGACTGGTGGCCAGGTATTTACTAATTCTCAAAGAATTTCTGGTTTTTATAATCTTTTGGGATTTGGAAAAAAAACTACAGAAGACTTAATAAAATTTATTATTTAAAAAAAATTTGTTTAATCCTTTTACCAAAAAAAAAGGCATTTGGATGTAGTGCCAGTCTTACAACAACCTTCACCCTGTAAACCTGCAGTCAAACAAGAGGAATTTTCAATGTTGCTTGTTAAATATTTAAACAAAAATTAATCTTTTGCTGTTGGCAGCACTTCCATATGTATGACCTTAAAATAAAAGAAAAAATCGTTTGGTTTTCTACAAGCCACCATTCTCTACTTCAGGCCTTTTGAAATGTGCATGTCACATTTTTACTACACTTAATTAAGAGAGTATGATGGAATTCATGTTGTTTTCCTAATTTGATAAAGGTCTAGACCATTATTCTCAAAGAGAAATGAAGATGAGAAAAAAACAAACAACAATCTTAGTTCTCTTCCTCTAAACTAAAATCTGCATAAAAATACATTGATGTCAGTTTGATCAAGTCACTGATTTGAACTTTTCATGGATAGATGTTACTGAATCCAAACTTAATTATTTTCCTCTAAGTTAGAAATCATCTTTGTTGTTTTCTGTATGATTTCTAAGACTATCATTACATCTTATATAATTTTCAGAAAGGGTTCAACTTCCTATACGTAGTTTTTATACAAATCTAGTTGTTTTTTTTTACATTCTTGTTATGAAGAATTTTAACTTGTGCAAGATGATTGGTTTTCATCAATGATTAAAGCAATCCGTTCCATCTTCAAAGGACGTTTGAAAAGAAAGAGTCCTAATCGGATTTTTTTCTAGCGTATGGAACAAAACAAAAATATTATATACTTGTATTTATCAGACTATTTTATAATGTTTTTGTATTTCAAAGTAATGGTTTACATTAATGGTATATTATTGTCACTTTATTTTTGTTAATCTTGTGACATAGTCACTAACTCTAAATTTACAAGACTTTTTTTTCTTAATACTATTTTTTTTTCTAATATTGTAGGTAAGAGATGAATATAGGACAGATTTTGATGAAGCTCGAGGAGGATATGGCAAAATGTTGGCTAGCAAAATAAGACGAACATCAGATATATCATCTTGACATTCTTTTTTTTTTTTTTGGTGTTGTTTCATTTTCTTTTTGTTCATATTGTATGATTGAGTGCCCACTTTATCAAGTTTTGTTCAGTCACGAAATATCACAGGAGTTGTCTGATTCTCTTGTTCTGTTCTTTTAACTCCATTGATGTGAAATGTTAAAGACCACTGTTTTTCTTGGAAATGGTGTTATGAGCGTTGCTAATTGTCTTATTATAGAACATTTGTATACATTTAATATGTTCAATTGAATATAAATTCTTTTAATAAATTTTAAAAAAAAACATTTTTTCATTTTTTTTTTTTCTTTCTCTGATGTAAGGTAGTATTTGTCAATAGATGACTGACAGATGATGAAAAAAATTTTTCTTACTAAATCATATTGTGTTAGACAAAAAACAACATATGTTGTAAATGATAATTCAATTATTCCAATGATGCTTAACAAATTTTATAACTCAAAATATTTTTTTTTTTAAATAAAGTATAGGCTGATTTAGAAAAATAACATAAAATGGAAATGAAATTCATTTTTTGATATTTAATTTTATTATTGATTACAAATATCCTTGTGAGTACTCAAACAAGACCTACATTGTTTAAGTATTTTTAAATGTTAAGTCTGAATCCATGACCTCATAATGTGTTAGGCACACAGACACAGTAGTTAAGTTAACAAAGCCCACAGCTGTGCTTGCAATTGATTTTCATGTATGCTGAATTTTTCGCACATTCCTCAATGGCAGCCCAATCTGGACATAAAATATTTTGGTCAGTGCAGTTTTTAATGACTGTACTTTGCGAACTTACCAGATTTTCTTTCAGGTCTGAAAGAGTATAAAAGGATATAAGACAAATTGTGTTTGAAGAAAGACACATTGGCTATGTCAACAAAGACTTTTAACAAGATTTGAAAAAACAGTAATTAGTTATTTCTGCAGGCCATGTAATGCTTGCATGTGTTCTTACAGTGTAACATCTCAAATCAGAATTTAAGCTAGCAGAACCTGGAATTTAGTGACCTACATTTACATTTTTTTGTTAATAAAAATTGACAGTGTAAAAAACAAAATTCAGTATATTTTGCTTCACCAAGGCCAGAACCTTGGTTTATATAATTGTATTTTTAAAATCTTCTCCCACTGATGGCTGTAGCTTAAATGATAATTATGATGTAGGTAGGCCTATAAAATCCGAGTCAGCGAGTCATATGTGTTTTGTGCTATTTTAATTAAAAGGTAGCGTCACATTGTATAAGCATACATCGTCTCTGGGAAATCAGATATAATACGTACTGCACCATAGGCAACTTTTCCGGCAATGGACTTTCATGTAGGCAGGATTACTAGTGCACTCCCCTTGCAGAGACCAATCTGTACAAAAGTCGTTACCATCTTGACATGGTTCTGTAATGAAATAGCAAGAGATCTGCTGAAGTGTAATTTAGATATTGGACTATTTTTTAAACAATATATCGAGTGGTTTCAGTAACTTTTTAAAAACTTAAAGTCTGTCTGATGCAAATTTTGAACACGTTATTTCTCCCACTTCCCATTCTCGGATCAAGTTGAAACTTTGCATAATTATTCACTGTCGAAGACAATACACGGATACGTCAAATAATTAACCTATTAGCTGAGCAAATGCTAAATAATTTATTTTGTTTGATATAAAAAGGGAAATTATTCTTACATTATTGAGATATATAGCTGCTTGTGTATTTGCCTATGTATGCATAATTTAGATGATTTAAAAAATATTTTGCTTGTTTTATTTTTATACCAACAAAGTGAAAAGCTATGAAAAGAATGAAATGGAAAAGAAAAAAAAAAGGTAGGCCTAAATACAAATATGTTCATCGTTGAACCTGGAATAACTAGTAATATTTCACAATAAAGTCAAATTTTTAAAAATTATAAATGAATTCGAAGAGTAACTCACGGCCAGACTGTGCTGCCAACTCAGATATCTTTATTTGGTATTGTCTTGTCTGCTCACAGTCCATTTTAAGCACTTGAGAAGTTTCTGCCTCTGTCAAATTTATTCAGAATAGACTTTTATTTACTGACATCTTTAGTAGCAACTATCTTATCAAAGTAGATTTCCGACAGTAGACCTACCTCTTGTTGAGTTGCATCTCTTGATGAAGGTATTACCACATGGAAACATAAGCTGTACCAGTTCATACAAGGAAGGGTCATACGCTCGTAGTTTTTCGGGGGAATTTACGGGGCCATGAACACCATCTGGTGGGTTTCTGTAGCCATTAACTTTGAAATAGCTCTGGACGGCTTCTGCCTGTTAGGAAAAAAAAAAAAACAATTACAATCAAGCTGTTGTTACCATTACTATGCAGAAACGCCGTAAGGAATACGAGCGATTCCTTTTAGAAGACCTAGAATTGGCTTCACAAGATGGGTTGTCTATGGACTTTGACATGTTAAAGATAATCTATAAGCCTTTTCCCCAGTTAACGCACAATACAGTAATTGAGAGCAGTTATAAAAAATTGCCTATAGTAAGAAAAAAAAAACAGCTTAAAGAAAAAAAAAAGGGATATGTGTGTAAAAAACATGTATTTATTACATTTCTTTTGTGTTGCTACTTACCAAATATTCCTCCATAGAATCAGCACTGTAAGTATCTTTCCAAAGTCCTCTGCGAGTTGAATTCTCAAACAAGCGATTAAGTGTGAGCTGAAAACCAGGGATCACGTGTTTGGATCCTAACAGATGAAGACCGTGAGTCAACTCGTGGATCAGAATATCTTCTTCGTAGTAGACATCTTTCGTTGACCTATTTGTTGGGTGAAATATTTTGGAACAAATATTAGGCTTCAAAGTTGAAAGTGTCTGAAAACAAAACAATTAGACAATGATTCTGTTTCACACACAACACACACACAGACAAGAGAATGCATTATGTTAATGCACTGTTTCTCACATTTTTACTAATGACGTTCAGCTAAGCCCAAATTTTTGTGCCTTTCCCCAATAGCAAGTTTGTGTTCTAGGGAGAGAGCTGCAAGCTTGTGTTCTAGGGAGAGAGCTGCAAGTTTGTGTTCTAGAGAGAGAGCAGCAAGCTTGTGTTCTAGGGAGAGAGCTGCAAGCTTGTGTTCTAAGAGAGAGAGCTGCAAGCTTGTCTTCTAGGGAGATAGCTGCAAGCTTGTGTTCTAGGGAGAGAGCAGCGACAATCATAAGAAACTATTTTTACTTTTGACAAGAGTAGGCTACACCTATAGTAAAATCGTGAAATTTAGAAACTCTTCAGGATAGAAGACAAAAAAGTAAAATATCAACCATACCTAAGACACTGAACCATAATCTTCAAATATCAAATAAAAAAAAAAAATAAAATAAAATAAAATGCTCAGAAAAACACAAAGATAAAGGCACGTACATTTCTTGTTCCATTTACTAGGATTTTTACAAATACTCTTTCTTCCCTAATGCTATTAATGCATGGAATGGGTTGCCTGAATGAGCCAGGGAAACCAAAGACTTTGCAGAGTTTAGGTCATTGATTAATTAATATTGCATGATTAGATTGACCTAAGGACACGCGTAGGACGCAATCATCTTTTTTTTTTTTTTTGAAGTATCGTCTTTTTAGATAAGATAACAGGATTGTGATCGATATTCAATCTGCAAAGATGAATTAGTAGAATATAACTTTCCTATATTTCAACAAGGTTACAAAAGACAGTTTGTGTAGAAACACAAACTCAAAATCAGCCGCGAAATAATCCAACCAGGCAGGCTTCAATATTTTCAGAAAAAACATCCAAATGAAATTATATCAAAGACAAAATGAGAGATAAGAATGGAGAAAGAAGGTTAACAGATCTTGTGTAGTGCCTCAACGGTCCAGCAGATCAAAGAATATGTGAAAGTGAATGTACAGTTAGATGTGAACCTGGCCTAACTAGTTCCCCTTTCAGAACTTGTGGTCTATAGGGCTGATGATATAAAGTTCATCTGTTTTTGTGGCCTACGGTTAACGAGAGTGTCATGTAGCCAGCACAACGACCAACCGCCTTTACTTTTCCTAAACTAATGTCAGGTTCCCATTAGAGCTGAGTGGACTCAGAGGCGCCCAAAGATTCCAAAGTTAAAAATCCCAGTCTTCACCAGAATTCGAACCGCACCTCCCCTGGTCTAACATGTCTTATAATTCATCTATTTCTTTGAATTTTTGTAGTAATATAGAAAAAGAATTAAGAAATATGAACTTTACAAGATTACTATTTGTTTTAAATTAGGTCTAACTTATAATGCATACTAATTAGCTTTTTCTCTTTAAAAAAATAGTTGCATAACTGATTTAAATATTAGTTTTTTCGCTTTCAGAAAAAAAAAAGTAGCCGTTGCATCAGAACTTTGAATGAAAATATTGTCATGTCCGATTTTCAATATCTTTTCTAGTTTACGAGATGTAAACGAGACGGACGGACAGACATTTCTCACAAAACTAATAGCGTCTTTCCCCCTTTCGGGGGACCGCTAAAAAGAACGTCAACGTTAGCAAGACTTTTTTTTTTTTTTTTTTTTTTTTAAAGGAAACCTCAGAATTTGCCCTATTCAATTTTAGCTTTATCATCATAGGAATCCTTGGGCCTTAGGCCTCTTTTCTTTTCCTCTTTTTTTGGGCTTAATGTGCCTCTTGTATGGGCCATCTTGCCTCTTTTGTGGTGTTTTTTTTTCCCATATGTTTTTATTTGTAAGTTCTCATAATTCACAAGTATTAAATCATAAACAATTGAAAATTGATTAACCTAAAAATACAACAATAGTAACAGAAACATTATTTAATATCAAAGACATACTACCTAACCATCCTAGCCATTGAATCCATAAAAGACAGAACAATGATACAAGTATCCTCTACCCCAGAACAATCAACACAATATCAAATATTCCTGACCCCCATCACCGCATTTCTGGAAAACTACCTGAGCATTGTACAAGTATATGAAAATCAAACTAGATAATTCTCTACCCTAAAATCCATTATTTTTCTAAATGTCAATTCTAAGTGATTAGGATGAAAAACCTTATTATTATGTAGAGCTTTGAGCCAGCTAGCCCAAACAAGGTTCCTGTATTCGGAAACAATAATTAAGTTAAAGTTATGTGTCATTTTATTTATTAGTTTTGGTAGCTTGTTTAATACAATTGACAAGTTAACATTGACATAGTTGCCACAGTTTGCTTCTAATAAGTACCTTACAGTACTTCTAAATTGAAGGAATAATGGACATTCCAAATACATATGTTTCTCATTGTCA